ATTATTGTTCCAACTCGAAAATCCTAATTTCGGAGAAGGGGGGGGGGGGTGTAGGTTAAGAATTTTTATACAAAAATTGTAACTTTCTTGTTATTTATTTTTTTAGTTACCGTCGGAGTTTCTCTTTTTTTATTACTCCTTTATTTACATTCTACATTCTTGACAGTAGTTTTTACATTGCTTAAATTCAGATGTAATAATGATGATAATACCTACATAAATCTTTTTGCCAGACATACCTAGAAATATGATTTATTTTTGATTTAAATTGCCATAAAGGGGTTTCATCTAACATCAAAAGAAAGTCCATACTCAACCCCCTATGGCAGTAATTCAGGAGGAGAAGGCCCCTCCTGTAGTTAAAATAATGCCAACAATGTAACAATGGTATAATATAGGAATCAGTCACAAAGACATATTGAATCTATTTTCTATTTTTCTATAGATTTCATGGTAATATAATAAATTGTTTTTAACATATATTTTAACCTCTGTATCTGTTTCTGATTTATTATCAAACCTTAATTTCATTTTTTAACTTTATATATAAGAAAAGCCACATATGAAATCAAAAGGTTAAGAATCTGTATATTTCAATTTTCCCCCTAAAAAAAGTTTAAACATGTTTCCACTGAATATTTGTATATCTAATAATTCGCGCGGTATCCCATATTTTCTTTAATTTTTTTTTTTAATTTTTTTTTTTAATTTTTTTATTTATTATTATTATTATTATTATTATTATTATTATTATTTTTTTTTTTTTTTACATTTTTACAATCAAAGATTAAATGTTTTATATCTTCTGATGTATTACACTTTTTTGCATAATTTTGATACGTTTTTGTTCCAGACACTCACAAATTTATTATTTTTTAGTAAATGATGTAGAAGTTTATGATTAAATTCGGCAAGTTGTTTATCCTTAACTTTTATTATTTTTTATGCATAGATTTTCGCTCTGTGTTCCTCAAAGTTAACAAGTTAACATTCAAAAAATTAGTCCATATATTTTCAGAGTATGGTTTAATTCATTTTTGAGCAATGAAAGCATTATAGAACATTTTACAACTTAGCTTTTCTAACTATGTTTTCTCATTGTTTCGCAAAAAGTAGACATTTATAATTGTTATGTTGATATATTTGCAAACGTAACATTGTCCATCTATAATTCATTTTCAGAGATGACATTTTCAATATATCGATTTAAATTATCACGAAAACATGATATAGTTTTACAATTTAATGATAACAAAATATATATGTACAATAGACATTATTGAGATAAGTGTATGTTTGTATTCACACATATCAGAAACATGGTTCCGCTCAGAGGTTTTTATCCTTTCATCTGCTTCGTCTTTTGTTGTAAAGCAATTTTGTCTGTTGAGCCTCATTCCCATATAAAAGGTAACATTTAATTGAGTTTGAATATTTTGAAGTACGAGTATACAGCAAATTGAAAATACATGTAAAGGTATTTTGAAAGCATAATTATGTAAATTGCACTTCATTTTTTTCAGAGGTTGTATATTGTTTCATTGTATTGATGTTATTCTAATCTAGGAAATGTTGAGGCCCTACTGAAGTTAACTCCCTGGAACTGGAAACACCTGAACACATCAGTAAAAGTGGACACTCCAGTCTCTGTGGAGATTTCTCTTCTGACTACAGACTTACTGGGAAACATTTCAACAAGTATCAGGGTCAGTACACAAAGACAATATTTTAAATAAAAATGCAAGATAGCCAAACTATATACCATACGCTGTGTTATATGCTAAGGGATAAAAAAGCATATTACTAGTGATGATATAAAAATTCTTTATTCCTCTGTAAGAGTATAATGGTGAAGGTGATGAGACGAACTTCTCTTTTTAAAATATTTTCTTAAATGTTTAACTCACAGGTACTTGATGTTTTACATATTTATCTTTATTAATGAAAAAATTCCATACCAGGCCCGTAAAACGTGAGGGGGGGGGGAGGGGGTACCTTTTACTGAGTATAATTTTTTGCTGCAGTAAATTTTGATTTAGATGCTGGTTGGCTCTTCACTTTTTGTTGCTGTGAGATCGAACACTGGCGAATTCCAGCATTTGGAAAACATGTGTACCAAAAGGTTAGAGAAAGGTCCCCCACACCAAATAGGATTTTCGAGTTTAGACAGTTTTCTTTTCTTTTTATTTGCTTGTCAGATTTTTTGGAAGGTTACCCCCTTTTCACTTTTAAGACCGTTGCTACGGGCCTGCATACTATACATGTAGTTTTAAATTATTATAGAATGGGAATTTTTTTTATCAATAAAGAGAAATACTTAAAAAGTCAAATACCCGTGGTTTATCTATGCGGGAAATAAGATTATGCAATGTGTTTAATGACTGTTGCAGACTACGAGAACTAATATTATCCATGATCCCCAAAATGCGATCCGAGTCCATCTGCAAAGTACAAATCTTAACAGCGTTTAGTATAAAATCAACAATATACATTTGTATTCTTTTACAGATCTACAGAGATCCAGGGATTGTGCAGCAATTCTAAAATCTATCCCTCATACAAAAGGGAAAGATGGCGTCTATACTATTTACCCGGATATGAAGACACACAAATTGGCCTACTGTGACATGACTACAGACGGAGGGGGTTGGACGGTAGGATTATTCTAGAATATTCTGTTGTACATTTCCATTCTTATTATTACATACTTTTTTTCCCCATACACATTTTATGTTTCCAAGAGGATTATCATTCTCCCATCACATTTGCATAAATGTATTGAACATAAGGAAAAAAGTATCGATGCAAATGTATATGCTGTATATGTTTATATTTTTCTTTAAACAGGTCATTCAAAGAAGAATTGACGGATCTGTGGATTTTTATAGATCATGGAAGTCCTATAAAGAAGGATTTGGCAAAGCTAAAGGAGAATACTGGTTAGGTAAGATATTAATTCAAATCTCTGTCCCGTTAAGTATGAAAGTATAAATTATCTTCACAATTGTACACCAAATAGAATTTTCTCTCGGTTTCTAAAGTTATACATGTATGTCTCTCATCCAAAATTTTTTTTATTACCATGTATCTTTTCTTCACAAAAAATCCTTCCAAAACGGCAACAGTCATTGATTTGAATTCCAAGTTTAAAATTTGAATTAAGAGGAACACATAATTACATGTAATCAATAACGAAGTTAATTTTATTTTAGGAAATGAAGCAATTTATTTACTTACCACAAGAACAAAACAAGAACTGAGGGTAGACCTTCAGAATTTTCGGGCAAAAAAGCATATGCCAAATATACAACATTAGTCCCAAAAATACAAGTTGAAAGTTGATGGATACAGCGGTACTGCAGGTAATTAAAGACGATTTTAGTATGGCAGTGTTTCTTTCACTCTTAACTCACACAGTCAATATCAATTTTGATTCAAGAAAAATACTAACAAAAATTCACTAGTAAGGCTGTCGAGAACGATGGTTTAAGCAAACATATGTACAACACGACTATAGTTAATTGTGGTTAAAATTGCTTTTATTTTAAGGAAACAGTTTACAGCCTCACAATGGATTAAATTTTTCAACAAAAGACCAGGACAATGATTCGTATAGTAAATCGTGTGCTGTTATTAGGAATGCAGCGTGGTGGTTTGGATCTTGTGATAACTCTGACTTGAACGGACCATACCACAAGTCCGCTGTCAGTACGTGGGCCTGTGTTCTGTGGTACAAGTTCGGCAATGAAAATCGTTCAATGAAGTCTGCAAGAATGATGATCAGACCCACAGGTTAAAAATCATTATGAATAAATAAAAATCTTTCTCTGTGTTTTATATTACTCGTACTTATATGTATTCATTGAGATCTCACGATCTTCTGACATTGGCTGTTGAAAGTCATAAAAAAATTCTCACCCTACTGATCAGACAAACAAGACGCAAATGGATAATATGCATAATTAATGCTATTAATAATTTTATGTTAGCAGATAATAGAATTGCTTTTTACTAATGAAGAATTTTTATTTAATTGTCTATGAGTCAGTAGATGGGTCAAACATGAAAAAGAAGACCTTGACACTTTGTCAGATTGGAATAAAAGTATCAAATGTATGTTGAAATCTCGCATTTGAGGGGCAATATGAAAACCATTTATCCTTCTGTTTTCAATAATTCAAAAGTAAAAAAAAAAAAAAAAAACCAGTTAGATTACATGATCAATATGTACTGGACCCAGTTAACAAAGCAGGTAACAACATTGTCTTTGTTTGTAAGGCTGATTATTTTCATTACATGTTTTAGAGGAACTTGGATTTAATTCTGCAAGTGGTAATCTAAATTGAATTCATAGCCCCCTTTCTAAGGAGGAAATTCTTCAAAATCATATGTCAGCTTTAAATACGTAAACTACATAAAAATATACATAGCGGGTTCCACTAAATGTAAACTTACGACTTTTCAACACTTTTAAAAACATTCCGCTAGATAAAGTCCAGGCTTTTTGACATCACAGACAGCTACTTTTTCAATAAAATGGAACTCACATACCTTGTTATTGGTCATTTGCGAAATTATTTTGTTAAAAACATTCTGATTGCACACACAATTGCAAGTACTCCGAAGTTGATATTATAAAGATGTTTGAGTTTCTGATTGACAATATCTATGTAATTTTAAGAGATCAAGTCTTCCAAACAATCTGTTGGAATTCCCATGGCTTCTTACTGCGCCCATGGCTACATATTGCGCCCCGTTATATTAGCAGACCTATTATTGTATTTATATGAAGCAGGTTATATTAAAAAAAAAGAAGTCTCTTGCTGTGGCCTTCAATTCGACATTTAGATATATCGACGACGTTCTATCAATTAACAATATTCATTTTCTTTCCTACATAGATTATATATATCACTTTGAACTCAAAATAACAGATAACAGAGTCTGACACATCTGTTTCATATTTGGATATTTTACTAAAGAAAAAGACATTAATGGCAACCTAACAACAACACTTTATGATAAATATGATGACCGAGTGATATGAAGCTCTCAGCACAATAAAGAATTTTTCCATCTAGAATAACTACGCATGTAATACTTTGTGCATGGCACGTTCACTATCCAAAATTGGTGGATACGAGTCGTGTAGTTGATTTTCGGTTCTACTCCAAAAAATCCATTAAACAGTTAAAATTTTCTTCTTGTTTGATAACCATTCAATTATTTATTAGGATCAAGATGATGTTTTAAACTATGTCTACTTGTCTACCAGTTATGACGATGACTCGTTTATTGTAACCACTGCGCTATTGTCTTCATTTTCTTGTGCAGTTCCATTTGGTTTCTTTTCAGAGATACCTGAAACATACATTTTAATTAAACTGATTTGTGTGTGTGTGTGTGTGTGTGAGAGAGAGAGAGAGAGAGAATTATATTGCATAAGAGTTTTAAGAGTATATTACATGAAACTGAGTCGGGCTGTGCAACTATTGTATCACTGTCTACATTGAATTCAAGGTCATCTAAAAAAGAAACAATACAGTTTATGCTCTGTAATGTGACTATTTAAAATGTCCATTTTCGTTGAAGGGAGACAATTTATATCCTTTATATATTGTTAATTTTTAATGAAACTAGAAATAAATACATAAAAATTTGATAATTTATTATGCATATGTAACTTCTATTCAAAACCACATTTTTAGGTCTTAACTTATTTCCAAACATTAATTTTGTTGAGCAAAGTAGTTTACTATCAAAACTATGAACAAGAGGCCCATGGGCCACATCACTT